CTAAAATTTCTAAGAAATTTTAGCAAAAAGATTCTGCTTTTTTTTCTTTTTACCCTTTTTATATGACTCCATGCAGTTTTATTTACCTTTCTCACCAGTGTCTCCAATAAAATGAAATAATATTAACTACAGAAAATATAACATGCTATATATAGTTGGCAAAAAAAAAGCATGTTATTATATATATGGTGTCTTATAAAATGGAACAAAATTTCACCTTTATGTCTGTTTTGAAAAGGACCAAAGGAAGGATGGTTCAATCAATTCAATTAAATATGAAATAAAATCTGAATAAAATATGAGTAATAAACGACGAAGTATTAGATCCTGTGAGAACCAGGAGATACGACGGAAACCCTAGCATAATAATTAATGCTCATGGACGTGCACAGACCAACCATGGAAGATATTGTTGAAAATTGTGTAAGAATATTCTATGTAATGGGCATAGTCACAAACATGTTACTATAAATTATAAAACTATTAGAGCCTAAAAGGCATTGGACTTGTTAATAATTGAGCTATCATTACTTCCTAAAAGTTTCATTTTATTAATTTTAAAATTTGAAAAATGTTTCGAATTGCTTGTCTCACTCCTCATCTAGATATGCAAAAAATATGGTTAAACAGTCACTACATAACAACAGCGTACAATTGGCACGCACACATTCTCTTTTTCTTTCTTTCTTTTCTATTTTGAAGCTACGAATTATTGGTCATCTGTCTCCCTAGCTAGATGCCTGAAACGGTTGTACACTTAGTCATAAGATAAGTATGCATGCACACTTTTTTTTCAGAAAAGAAAAAAATCAACACACGCATCTTAAGGTACGATGTATTAGGTTTTAATTTTCAATGTTTCACTTAAGGTCTCAGTAAGAAACATTGAGACTAAAGAATAAGGATTGATATTAGGATTGAGAAAAACCATTAAAGAGTGTTTAGTATGAGTAATTTCTCGTTAAATGGGATTAGACAATCTCATATAGGTCAGATTGGGGAATACCAAATCTATCTATGGTATTCTCTAATTCCATATATATGGGTTTGTTCAATTACAAATAACAAGCAATACTTCATGCTAAATACTCTTTTAACAAATTTTTTTCAATCTCAATCATAATATTTACTTTTCATTTTTAATGTTTCGTACTAAATGGGACTATAAGTGTCAACTACTTTTGGTGATGGCTGGTGTTGTCAAGCCTATTATTGCTGTTAAAACTCATGTAGAATATACCCTTTTGGTTGGAAATCATTTTGTTGGAATCTCGCATTGGTGTGTTTTCTTTACTCCTCTCGTATAGCTAGGATGATTTTCAATATTCCTCTTTCGTTTGCTAATTTCCCTAATCTATTATACTAGAATGGCAACAAGCCTGCATATGTTAAAAGATGGCTACTAATTGTGTCTCAAGCGACAGATGTATAGGGTTCATGACTCTCTTTGAAAACTCTTGTCATCTATATCTCTACCTTTTAAATTTCTCTTATTCATTTGGAAACTATTATACATTATATCTTGCCATCGCGGATTATTCTGAAAATGCATATCTTAATTTTACTGGGTTGTGTTTTTCCTTCTTTTATTTTTTCCCCCCGGTCATCAAGAGGTGAGAATTCATCATATCTTCTTTCTTCGCCCCTTGCCCAAAATTGTTTGGTTTAATTGCTTTTACAGTGTAGATCCCCAAGCTTCATTTTCTAGTTGAAAGATGGAACGTTGCCCCTTAGATATTAAAAAGGGTTCAATATTGTCTCTCCAATAATAGACCAGCACGTTAACACTTTTGGTCGAGGAAAATTACGGACGAGGCTCCAGAAAATTACAAAAAGTCTCCAGTAAGAAAATTAAGGAAAATTTTGGTAAAAAAATACCTGTTTGAAAATTTTATTGACTAAAAAGACATAAATTTGAATAGGTGCAACTATCTTCAGCGTGTGCAACTTCTCTTCAGCCATGTGCAAATGACTTCTGTTTTGACAACTATTACACATAATTGAAGATAAGTTGTGCACAACTAAAGACAAGTTACACCCGTGGAAGATAGTTGCGCTCACCAAATTTAGATTTTTTTTAGCCAATAAAATTTTTAAAAAGATATTTTTTAACAATTAGGAAAGTACAGATAATATCCCAAAAATGATAAATAAATACCTCAAAAATTATAAATAAACACCAAAGCAGTAATGTCATTTTTTATCTATGTAAAAGACAAAAATATCATTTTGACAACCACTTTGATCAATTATTGGGTGATTATTGGATTCCCATTGTTATCGACGAGGCCAATAAATAATTAAAATTATTATATTTTAATAACGTAAATGTCATAAGTTTTTACAAATCTTCACACATAATATATAACTCAGCTTTTGAGATTTACAACTAAAATTAGTATATACGTGGTTTATAAGCAAACGTGTGGTGAATTATAAATATTCCTCTAAACCTTACATGTCTTCATTTAGAAACTTACAACGTAACTAGTGTGTGAAGTGGAGATATTGCACCACCCTTGACTTCAGAGTAACCAGGGTGTTCTGGGAAAAAACAAAACTTTAGGGGTAAACATACACCATAACCTTTTGTGAATTGATATTTATCATTGACTCAAAATTAAATGATAATTATATTATATTAAGGGGAAAACGAACGAGGTTAAAATTAAACTTAATATGCATTTTTAATGGTATTTATACCTATATTCGTGATATATTAAGTTTTAAAAATTGGAAAAATAACTAATTCCTATTCAAGCAATGAAGCAACAGGAAAAATAGATGGATCTCAATAAGTGGTCTGTTCTAACACTATCCTTGGCAAAAACATGTAGAACTTATTTTGGACAAAGCTCCCATTACAAATGATTTTGGCAAAAGCTTTATTAGAAGAAGCCAATAATGTTATTAGGTTTCCACAATCATTAGTGGGCAAAAGACCACTTAAAAAATTACCATATCATATAAAATGAATAATTATAAGTTTCATATCTTATCATGAATGTCGTCACAAATGAATTGCAGATCCTGACGTCTCTTTTCTCATATAATATCATATAGTTCTTTGTCTTTTAGGTATTTTATTTTTATGCTCAAGCAATATTCACACTCCATGCTCTACATTTTTTTCCTTCCCGTGCATGCGTGTGTCCGTGCTAATTTTCAGAATTGACGAATACAAACTTGCTGATTCAAGAAAACACACTCGAATCCTTAGCTTTAAGTAGTTCAACCACTTCTTTGTATCTATACGGAATTTATACTTTTAATTTGGTTATTGTGTACTGTGTTTGCGCTGGGGATATGGTACGTGTGCGTCCTACAAGCTAATCATGATAGGATATGATGAGATATATTATATATTTATGTATATAAAAACATACACTCTTCTAGTCCTATTTTTAAGTCACATTAAATTTTTTTATATGAATATACAATTCTACTCTTTATTTATTATTACATTAGTCATTCTCATGAGATATAATAAGAATAAAGTTTAAAAAATTATTAAAACATTTTAAAATGACTTGTAAATAAATATATCATGGAATCCATATGATAAAAAAAATATTGCATTTGAATTGCCATAATCCATTCCATATAATTTCCAGGGAATCTGATTTAAGGTATTATGATTCTCAAGATACTGAGCAATTTTCATAGCCTCCTTCTACCCTCTTCAGTAATAGACTAAATTTTAATTTATTCAATTAGTCCCCAGCATGAAATTTTTATTTTCTTCACTATTCTCTTACTAACGAAATTTAGTCAATATTTTGATCTTGTATTAGAATTAAAATTACTTTATGAACATTTAAAGACATTCACAAATTTTTTATATAATCCTGCTCAAATTTCATGAAATTTTACTGATACAAAAGCGCAGAAGGGTGACAAACACAGCGTCCAGGACTTGAAGTTCAGACTTGTCAGCATTGTTAAAATGCCTCTGTTATTCACAACACGAGAAATAAAGTATGACCAAACAACTAACTACTAAGTAAAGCATTCAGAAGAATGCCAATCTTCATCAGTTACACGTAAGCCTTGGGGGTAAAAATGAGCACTACCATTTAGGCGTTTCAGTACATTGAAGGATTTTTCTTAAATAGAAAAAAAAATAAAATAAAATGGGAATCAAGTGGCCAGTAATTAGATCCACCTTTAGTGCTGCGATCGAAATCCGAACATTACATAACAATCAATGTCCAACTATAATATTAAAGCCATTTTACTTTTACAATTCTTACGATTTATCAAAACTCAATCAAGTTACAAGAAATATGGAACACCTGTCCTGGGCCCCCTCATCTGGTTGTTCTCCTCAGTTTCAGTGAAAAACTTAACTTCTCTCTCCTGTAGCCAGTGAAAATGTAAAGCATCTATCAACAACGTGCTCCAACAGGGAGAATAAACTGGGGAAGATGATCACATAACGTAAATACACCCCGATTCACTGATTCCCTAACAAGCTAGATTTAAGCAACAATAGCGTGTACGGTGCACATAATTTAACACTAAGCACACCCATATCATATCATATCATACTTGGATGAGCATTTCATCCAACAAGAGTCTTATTTTTTATAGGCAAAAATTATATTCTTTCGGTCTTTAATATAAGATCTAATTAACTAATTTGAGTATATCAAAGATGTTAGTTAAATTAATTAATATGATATGTTTTTTCCCTAAAACACTCTAAGCATCTTCTTTAATTCCCTCTCTCCCTTTCCTACTTGATTATTGTTGGGAAAATATCAATAAGGTTAATTTGGGAAAAAAATTAATAAATAAGTGAAATAGGTCTTATATATAAAACCAATATTAACTCCTTAATTAGATCCTATATTAAGGACCAGAGTAGTATCTTTTATATAAGAAAGCATCCTTTTCACTATACTCCATTGTACGTACCAAATTATAACCTAGCTGTGGAGGTGGAATGGCAGTTAGCTTGATGAGAGACAAGGCTACAGAAAACAGGGAATTTGATGGGTGGGTTGTTGCAAGGAAGTGCAGAGAACCCGGCAAAGGATTTTGGGAGCCTCGAATGCCAGAATAGGTTTATTTTTTTATTCTTTTGCTTCTGATATATTGTTCACTCTGTTATGGATGTTGATTGCAGGAGATATTTCCTGTTGAATGAAAGGACAAAATTGAGTATAGATTTCCATCATATTGCTCCTACTGTGTCTGCTTTCGTTCGAATAGCATCAAGTTCCATCAGATTCTATAAATCCATTTCAACACGAGAATTCACATCTTTCACCCAAAATTATCAATTGGAAAAGGCAGCCTAAAGTGACAAGATCCAAAATGCAGTAGTTTGCATGGTGTGAGTGAGGACAGCTGCCTTGGTAAGAGCGAGGACAGCTGCCTTGGTAACATTACCATCTAAGCAAAAAGAGGAATGGAAATTTAAGTTAACCAGAATGAAAATAAAAAAACAAAAAGAACTGGGGGACTCTCTAAGTTGACTTGCATTATTTAGAGAAAAGGATCTGCAACTCGGATTCCAAGGAATGAGAGAAACGAATGCAATACCTAAGCACAAGAGAAATGCTAAACACGAAAGGCAGCCTCTGGTATTCAAAAGACTAAGAGACTCTGCCAACACACTACTGGATAGACTTAATAAACCTTCTCCTAACTGAATATCCTTCATATACTGCCAGGCAACAGCTAGGCATGTAGTTCTTCCTCCTTGTCATTATCTCTTCATCTTTTGCTACTAGGCATTATGTGGGGAATTAGGAGTTAGTTTGGAAATGGTTGAGAAAGTTTGATAGTTAAGGACTCCTTATTAGCATGAGGAGATATGTATATTTAATATGTCCAAACAATTCAATGATACTCTTCCATACGATCGCCACATGACAATGGCATTGGTATTTTAATGGCTTTCCAGCATACTGAAAACATCAACAGAAGCACAATGTGAACAACAATGATAGCGATGGCAAGATTGAAGTAGGAACCAAGGAAAGTTCATCAGAAGCTTGAAGAATTTTTGGTGAGCTTCTCAAGCTCACAGTGTGTTCTGGCCACTGTATTTTTGAGAAGTATTTTCCTTTAACTTTTTAGTGAGAGCTTGTGCAAGGAGATTCTCAAATAGATCTTTTGCCTGAGAAGAAATTCATTTAGGACATGCTTAGTAAATGAAGCAAAAAGGGACATAGGGGCTTCCATGAAAAGTGATTTTCAGACTACAATTGTGTTTGGTAGGCAGGAAAAAATCATATTTTTTCTTTTGCAATAAAAGCGTGGTATGAAACAATCCCAAAAGAAAAAGTAGAAGTCAAAGTGGTCAAATTAAAGTATAGAGGATATACATCAACATTACAGAATTTCAAAGAAATATAAACAGTTTGAAATTCACTAGAAGGAAAATCAGAGATTCCAGTTATAAATGCATAAATATATCTTTCTGAAATTTGAAAAGGCATATCATTTCTGGTATGGCGGAGAATTCAACCTTATTTTTCGTATTATCATCCTTTATCTTTAAAGCTTACTTTTACATTGAATTTTATGCTTCAAAAGTTAATTTTCATAATATTAATGGATAATGGATGGATACCAAGGCCATAATGTCTGCTTAGTCCCAAATTGCGTAGTACAATATGCTATACGAGGTACTCAATTGGGTTGGTCCTCCCAACTCAAAAAACTGAAAGATAACCAATGTGCGACCTTAAAAGTCCAGAAAACGTCCAATGAAACAAGTCCAATTCAACTAAAACTAATTAAAATTCATTTTCCATAATCTGTCTCCCTCCTAATAAAAATGGGGTGGTGTCATGCCAAAATGAACTACACTAAATTCATCTAGAAAAGTTCTTTTTAAAAAGGAATCAATATATTTATATAAAATGAGAAACAGGCATAAAGAATAGCTTTATGGATATCACAACACCAATTTAACAGCTACAACGATCATCATAAAATCATATATAATATATTAATATAGCGCAAGCAATAGGTGACTGACCATATTTTCATTGAAGCTCAAAATAGAAGCAACATTTCCACACCGGTAACAATAATTAGGTGCAGACCATACCTGAAAAGTCAAAAGCAAGGACTTACTGATTTATTCATTTTCAAAAAATACTGAAATATGTAAGAAAATAAGAGAAATGTTACACTTACAGTTACAAGGCCTTTATCTTGAAACATATACTTAAGGCCTTCTTGCACTAGTTGATGAGCTCGACAAACAAGATCAAGAGTATTTATGTGATTAAACTGCATCAGAAATGAAGCATTTGTAAAACTACATAAATTGTCAATTCCATAATTAAAGTTCCTTCCACGGTATCTGAATTGGGACAGCATTATTTTCATGCTTCCGTTATGAGTTTCAGCAAAATGGATTTTTAAGGGGTGGCGTCCCTTGGTGATTGACAAAGAGATTGAAAATCTGTTCAGAGTCAACGAGCTGCAATTTTTTCCACTTCTGTTTTCGCAAGGCTTCCTATCCCTTCTTTACTTATTGTTTTTCACCTGAATAAATTCTTTTGTATATATTAAAAAAAAAATGATTCTACAAAGAATTCACAACCTAAAATTACAGTACCTCAGAAGTGACTCTGGATCCAAAAAGCCAACCTGCACCACGGGGACTGACTGCCCATGTCTCAATATCTTCAGGATCACTCCACATTAGATCACAAAAGGGTCCCTCATGTGGAATTTCACAATTTCGATCAATAACCCTTATCTGCCATGGGGAAAAAACGTTTTATTACTAACTTTTAACATTGATATCGATTTTTCCAAAGTAACATAAATAATATTATAAACAGTAATAATCCCACCAATAAGCTAATTTGTTAACCGTGAAATAGCCTATTTAATGCTTGTTAGTTTTGGTAGCTTAGAAATAAAGTTTCTTGGCTTTTAGTGCTTCAAACATACTGGCACACTTAAAATGTAAACACAAGGGAAGCAACAAGCCAAAGAAGTGCCACATAGAAGTCTCCGAAATAAAAAATTAAAAAAAAAAAAAAAGCCACCATATCATATTGCAACTAAAAATGTGTAACAAAGGAATAAAAACTGCAAAGAATTGTGAAAAATATTGACTTAAAAGTTTCCTAGGTTAACATAAATACAATCAAACCCACCATACGAATTAGCACTCCACACAGGCATGATTAGTGTAACAGGGAAAACATAAAACACAAAACCACAGTACATTCATAAATTGGCCTATATTTGCGAGTAGACAAATCAGAAGGGCGCTAAAAACTGATAACCTGATCAATCGTTCGAATGTCAGGAGAAAGACCACCATGAACACAGAGCACCTGGATAACGCACAACAAGCAAAATTTAGTTTAAACACACAAGTATCATTCAAACAGAAGTTGAAGTCCAAAGCACAATGTTCCCACCCACGGACATGCACATATAGTGGGATAGAGGGAAAAAGGAAGCAAGTAGAAGAGATTTACAGTTCCATCTATTATTGCTGAAAGCGTTAGGTAGTCAAAAACATCTGTACAATACCGCCAGGCATTGGCATTTCCATACTTTCTCTGGCATTCATCATAAAACCCATAAACCTGGGGGGAAAAAAAGAAAATAAATTACAAAATAAACATAAATCAACAGTTAACATTTCAAATTCGTAATTTTAAATAATTATCACTTAATCACTTGATAGGAAGAAAAGCAAGACTAAAGTCACGGCTCAAATTTCATCACATCTGAAAAAATTAAATATTAGATAATTAATATCCTCAATTTTTTCACAACCAGCGTGCAACTTGATCGATAAACAAATATGCAAGTCAACAAATAAAGACACATCATGAATACGATTTCAGCATTTATCATAAAATCACAGTTTAAAGAAACTAGAGATATTGTCCTAAATTTCACATCTTTCTTATAATTTTGCTCTTCCTTATAATTTTGTTAAAAAGGACCAGTGTACTGAGACTCCCCATTATAAGATAGTAAAACATAAGAAAGCTCATGAGGATATGCTGCCAAATTTGCAACCCTAGCTCTTATTACAACCACAATTGCCAATGAGTCCCCATTATAGTTTGATTCTCAGAAAACATGACTAACTGTAACAATCCAGTTCAGCAAATAAGGGACGGGATGCAGTCTATCAGCTGGTTATCATGGCAGGCCTCATAATGATCGTTTCCAATGGTCATCACAACACTTCTCAAATCAAATCCAACCTACACCCTTCAGAAGCCCTTCAAGCAAGCCAGAAGGAGGCCATATTTTATCCCCCAAAGCGCATCCATGAAAAGGGATGCATCTCACCAATTGGCAACCAAAGCCCACCACCAACGCACCAACTTCATCTCTACATGATCTCCACTCCCCACCACTTCATTTTACAGCATCACCACAGTTTAATTTGCTTGGCATCCACCAGAAGTCATCCACATTACATGAACAACACGCTGTCTTCTCACAGTGAATCTTTATTTCAGCTACAGCTGTGACAGAAATCCTTAGCTTTCCCACATGCATAGCAGCATTGGTTGGACTATGGAAATCTGGATTAAGGAAGTAAGAATTGGACATTTCTAAAGCAACATTGTCCCCACATCCAACCCCATGTTCCATGTCAAAACCCAAAAAATGCTTTAAAGATCATGGAACAGCCATCGTTCAAGATCCCAAGAGAAGAAATTATTTGGGTATCTGTGTTTCATCAGATTGCACCACAGATTCTTTGCATGCACAGTCCCCAAGAACATCCATGTTACACTTCATAGCACCAAAACACCAAAAGCAAGAGAAGCGAGTCCCTCCAATACCACTATAGATGCTACTAATCTTTTGCAGGTAATCAAACAAAGAAAGCATGTAATACTTGCCAAGAATTTTCAGAATTCACATATTTCTGTGCAGCATATAACTTTTCATTTCCTCGGTAAGTTAATCCCACGCAAGGGTAGCTAAGTCAGCTACAGTTAGACTGTTATAGTTGGTTGTTGTAACAGAATACTCTTGAAAATGCTCATCTATAAATACCCCTAGCCTATACAATGGAGATATCAAATAATACAATTAATCTCTTCTCAAATTCCCGCCAATGGTATCAAAGTAGTAGAGACAAGTGAAAATGAATTCTTAGACAGCAAATCTGAAATGCTCTCAGCTCAGACGCTTGTTCCATAAGAATTCTTGAATCATGCACTAGTGAAATTGTTGAAAGGAACATTCTGGTTTGGAAGCAACATGCTTGGCAACACAATCAATGGCACCAAGTTGCCCTGTTTTCTACTGGGCAATCATGCTTTGAACTCTAGAGGACAAGTCATGCAGAAACTACAGCAAACAAATTCTAAATTGGGGGCAGCAGGACTAGGTCACCATGTTATGGCTCCTAGCATACATGACAGAGGGATTTGCATGCCTATTTGGTGGGGTGTTGTCATTCATACCATGTATTATACAGCTAATATCTAACCTAAATAAGGCTTTTACACTAAGGGACTTAGGTCAACTGAATTATTTCCTCGGGAGTTGGGCCAAGAAAACTGTTAATGACAACTTGCATTCGTCTCAATCCAAATACATATAGGAGTTTCTAAAACGGCAAAGATGGAACAGGAAAAGTATATAAAGACTCAAATGGCTCCTGGTTCAAAATAATTAACTCAAGCAATAAAGGTAACGGATTACCCTCAATTTATCATGCCACTGTTGTTGCATTACAGTACATCAACATTACCAGGCGTGACATGGCTTTTTCAATAAACAAAGCCTATCAATTTATTCATAGACCCTTAAACAGCCACTGCACAGAAGTCAAAAGGTTGCTGACATATTTTACAGGGAATATTTAACTAGGGAACATCACACTCAGCTCCTAAGTGAGATTTCATTACTGCAAGGACCCTTAAAATGTATAAATTTATCTCAAGTCCCAAGGAAACTGTGGTTAATAAATTGAAATTATGAATTGACCACCTTACCCTCAGTGATATTAATTGATATATACATTGTCACTCTGAGAACCCTCCCTTGTCAATTCAAACTCCTTTACTTATCAATTATGCCTATATAGATTGTTGCTCCATGCTGCAGAATTGTCAAGTGAAAAGGCCTGCATTAACAACTTATTGTGGCATAATTGACAAGTCAGAGTGCTCCAAATAACAACTTATTGTGGCCCAATTGACAAGTCAAGGTGCAGCATGAAATAACAATCTGTATAGGCACAATCGGCAAGTAAAGGAGTTGGCATTGACTAAGGAAGGGTGTTGAGGGCAAGATAGTCAATTCACAACCGCTCACTGGTCCCTTGGAACTCAAGATTAATTTGAACATGTCAACGGAGCTTACAGTATTAAAATCTCTTACTTGGGACCTAAGTATAATTTTCCCTGAACTATATAATTTGTCTCAAGAAATCATCCACATTGAGTTTAGGAGACGAAGTGATGCTGACTAGGGTTGTGATGTGGATGATAGGCAGTCTACATCAGGTGGCTATATTTCTGTAATGCAAATCTACTGGCATGGTACTCTAATGATCTAGATTCAAACTCTTTGGTCGATCCCAGTAAGTACACTATTCGTGGTTCATTAGGACAACTTGAGTTTAGTGGCAATTCGATTCTTCATGCTCACACAAAGCATGTCAAATTAGATATTCACGTGGTACATCAGAAGATTCCACAAAAGCAACTTTTGGTGGCTTATGTCTCATCCAAAGATCAATAGGCAGTTGCATCAACAAAACCTATTGCTTATAATCAGTTTGCTTATCTTCAATCTAAATGTTGTCCTTAATTTAAACTAAGCTTGATGGGGCGTGTAAGGTTAGATAAGTCAGTTAGATAGTTATACGGTCATAGTTATTATTGTAACAAAATACACTTGTAAACACTCTTCTATAAATACATAGCATATACACGAGAAGGATTCAATATAACACTTTATTTCATCTAAACTACAGCCCAAAAGAACCAGTCCATTCCCCTGTAGCTTCAACCAAAAAGGAAAAAGAGAGAGAATAAGAAAAATAAAAATGTCCGAGGTAGCAGATTCCTGCTAGGTATTTTGTTCAGATAAATTTTCAATGGAAACTTGCCAAAGCTTCAATCAAATTATCTCTTAAACCTTGCCACCAATTGGCCTTCAAAACAAATTTTAACTCAAGCACATACAAGAAATGTAGAAAATCACCATTTGACAAGGAAGCATACAAAAAAGTCTCACATATATCCACGTCACAATCAACAATTCTAAAGCACACAATGTTTAGCACCAGTTCTAAAGTTGCAATGACATATTAGAATGGGATAGTGCAAAAATCAATAATGGACAAGACCCCAAATCCCTGAAAGACTATTTACTTAATATTAAAATACTGGTCTAAAATGATGTTCGCACTCCCAATCATTAACTGACAAGCATAATTAACATAGCAGAGGCAGTAGACCAGTGCATGATGATTTTCAAACATACCTGGGTTAGCTGCCTACTTTCATGGTTTCCTCGTAAAAGGGTAATATTAGCTGGGTATCTATAAAATTACACAAAAATTAATGATGCACAACTATAAATTAATTAATAATTGAGTTGAGTACGTACATAAATAATACAAAATAACAATACCTACAAAAAAGATGATGATATAATAAAGAAATCTAAAGCAACAGCAGAGAGTCAGCCAATTAGATATAGTCAATGGAAAGGAAATCCATTAGAGTTCCACAGAGAACGAGGAACTTTAATTTTTGCAATCATTGTTAATCATTGTTAATTGTTATTATCACTCAACAATATCTATGTCTTAAATTTTTTTTTTTTTTTAAGGGGCGCAAAAATCATTTTCCATTCACCTCTTCATTCTTTTTCATTTCCACACCCAACAGGATCATCATTTCCAGTCAAGCCAATGGATCAAAGAAATGTTCCAACTAAATGTAGGATACAGAAAGGATCTGCATGAACATTTAATTGTCAAAAGACTTTTAAAATCTGCAATCCAAACATGATTAATGAAATATTACAACCAACAGAAAAGCTAAGTGGCCTTAAAATGAAAGATGATTTATGTGATCAGTTTTCTATCAAGAGCATAGCGTACTCATTCAGATTGGATTGCGATGAATTTTTTACCAAGTTTCTTCCTCCACGTCCTCTTTGAAGGCACCATAACAGTCTCCTTGTGGCTTTCAGCAAATGGTGTTTCAAGGGAAAGTCCTTTGTGGATTTATGGAGATTGAAGAGTCGTTTTGAATTAAAGAGTTTACAAAGAAAAACGCCATCTCAGATATCATGTAAGGTTCTTATTATTACAAGTAAATGTCAGTGTTGTCAGCATGAAAACAGAATTTTAAAATCTGAATAGTTCAATGTCAAATATGCTGAGAAAATAATATTAAGGCTGCATTGAATGATCTACTGACATCATGAACTTCTGATGAATCATACCCATCATCCGATGTCAGGCAAGCACTCTAAAAAGGAAAGTTCCCAATTGAAAGGATAAAGAATGAGAGAAAAATTGATATCTTACACCTCAACCGACAAGTTTACAAGGATAAATGCTAAAAATATATACAAGCTATTATGATGATGCAAGTACATTTTGTGTTAGTACATATAACACAATTCATTTGAACACCAAAATAGTCAAGTCAGATGCGAACGTGCAAGAAATTTACATACCTAGCTTTAAGAAGTAAAAGGATGGTGAACACTTCCAGACTATTGTACCCTCTATCAACAAAGTCTCCCTGCAAAACATTTAGGATCAGATAAAGTATAAAACTTACCTTCATCCGTACAGTTTCTTGACAGAAGTATGGCACATACCATAAAGATATAATTTGTCTCAGGTACATGACCCCCTGTCTGGAAAAGTTTCATTAGATCATGAAATTGGCCATGAATGTCACCACAAACAGTTACCGGGCTATTCACAGGCTGCACATTCGACTCCTCAATGAGAATCTCTTTTACCTGAAATATCATGAAACACTAGCTGTAGGGGCAATCATGGCTTATCGAATATTTAATTGTTCAGAAGTTACAATACAAAAGGAAGCACTTCTCCAGTCAAGACAGAAAAATCTCAAGATGCACAGACAACAAACCTGAGACCAGAACTGCAGAAATATTGCAGGTATAGTCTTGTAGAGAAAACACAAAACAAGAAAATGCCCCAGCAAGAGATATCAAGTCAAACGGGTCAAGAGATCGTTATTTTCCTACTACCCTCCGAACAGCTCGAGTCTTATTCCACACAGACCCTTGAAACAAGACATATAGGCTGGTAGCTTACCAGAATAACCGCCCTTTTACGCCAACAAACTTGACCATGGCTCACTACACCCAAAATAACCACAAACAGCTGGTAGAGAGACCAACTACAACCACTGTGCTTGAGCTATATAACGCAATGAAGCACCAGATGATTTGCAAATTCTTCCAACTCTTCATGAAATATAAAAACTCAAAGCCAATAATTCTAGGCGAGAAAGAATGATAATTCTGTGATGGTAGAAAATAAATGAACTGAGGGCAGATAATTTTGAGCCCAAAAGTGAATGAGACAACTTTATACCCTACTTCTTGTAAAACACTGCCCCCTTGCAAGAAATCAATTGAATGCATGAGTAAACCGTACAAACCCTATTCATAGAGAGAGTGAAAAAGCGAAATGCTTACATATTCGCAAAGAAGCTGAAGCTCGTCTTCCAGCAGATGCTGCCCTTCCTTCACCTTCGCGATCCACTGGTCCAAATCCATCTCTCTTACCTGCCTTTAACACTGCACCTCTCGCTGCGTGGAAATTGCTTTGGGCTACAAAACCAATAGAGAAAGCGGAGAGATCCGAAAGGGGCCGAGGAATTTCAATCGACAAACAGATCCCCGTATCTGACAATATTGGGGATTTTAATTTAATATCTGGAATCTGGAATTTCTTGAATTTGAGCTAATAAAATTACAAGTGGCTCACGAATTTATGTTAATTAAGTATAATCATTATTGTTGGCAAAAAAGTTACAATCATTATCATTATTATTAGTCAAAATTAGATTAATGTTAATTATTTATTAATTATTTATAATTTGTTGTCAAAATTCTAAATAATTTTTTTATTTTACGAAATTAATTAAAATAAAAATTCAGATTTCATGTTTCCCTAATATTGGTAATACCTTAAAGCTCACAAAAAATATTAGCAAACCTTACTAATTATATAATCTTAGAAAATCATTTGATAATTTAACCATCAAAAAAGATATAAAAGTTTAGTAATTTTTAATTGAATTTTGCACTTACAACTTATGATTTTCTTTTGATACACTGGAAAAAAAAAACTTACAACTCAATTTTTTTTTGATACGCTGGAAAGAGAAAAGGAAAAGAAAACACTATGCACCTAGTCTCTTGGTTCTAGGTCTAAGAAAATCAACAACGAATCAGCTTGAAGCGTTTGCAATCTAATAGGATTTCTTAAGGCTCTTTTAGCAAGAGTGTCCACTATAATGGTGGTAAGCCCATCACCTAAACGTCTACCTGCAGTCCCACTTAATCATTCTTTTGATCTTAGAGATGGTTCTCCAATCACTTAGTGTATAACGTACGTTATCACAAATCAGTTGAACAGCCTCATCTGAGTCACTTCTTAGGAGAATTTTCCTTGCTCCCGGATCCCACACTCCTTTAAGACCTACTAAGCATCCCCATAATTCTACAACAAGGCAGTCTCCTTCTTCATGTCTGAACATGAAATTTTCAACTATGTAGTTATCATTTTGCTTCAAGATGCCACCAAATGCAATTGTTTGTTGGCTGTAGGAGAAAGAGCCATCAACTTCTACTACTAGAGTGTCAGCTATGCTATAATAATTCCTTTGTCTCTCTTGGTTGTGGTGGCTTGCCATATTCCCTCCAATGAGCTTGCTGCGAGCTTTAGCCATACACATGCATATAACTTTTACTCTAGCCATAAGGTCGCTTATGCACATAGTGCTCCCTGAATGAACAACTTCATTTCTGCCTTGCTGATAAGTCTCATGTTTTAATTCCTAGTCCAAACTTATGCTTTGGTGCTTTTTAATTCTGTAATTTGGGTTAAGATAGAGGTTAGTGTGTATCAAGGGTATAAGAGTCAATTGTGTACTTTTATATGATAATTCTTAAGTTTTATTCATTTATGGCTCTTATGTGTCCCACATGTAAGGAATTGAAAGACACGTAGCGGAAAATAACTTTAAAATTTTCCAATCCCTTACTCGGATCTACCGATTGTGTTTAAGTCAAATAGTAAGAGGTGTTACCTACGGTATTCGAATCGTTGGTGGCTCAGGGATTCCAACGTTCAGGATGCCTATGCTCTTCTTTTGTTCGTGAGAAGTCCACAACTCAAATCGGCTTCCTCTACCGGTATCCACACGAACAGCGTTCCAATCACGAACGACGTGCTAGCGCCTCTTGTCCTTCTAGGGCTTTTCCGAGAATCCGTCCTCACCGTTTCTATTTTGGCTGTTTCTTATCTGCAAACCTTTTGCTCTCTCACACACCTAAAACCCTAGCTCCTAAATATCAAATATATAGGATGCTATCGATATTATGAAGGATATTGGATTTCAGAATTAATCCTAAATTAATTCTGAAATTAATACAATATCATATATTGGGTAATCTGATAAGAGATCAATTAAATAAATACAGTTTATATTAAATCCGTTCCACAGATTTAATTCACCTATTCATTTAATTCAAAATAAAGATATGACGGAATTATATTTGATTTATTCTAATAAATCAAATTTGAGATATTATATTATACCATATCAATCTAGAACTGATATAGATTTAATTTATCCTAATAAATCAAATCTAAGATATCATATCAATCTAAATTTCAAATTTAAAAGTGATAGAGATTTAATTTATCCTTATAAATCAAATCTTATAAATATCTCTTATATCATGTAATATATATATATACGAATTTATATATATACACGTCCACCCTAGATTATTCATTAAATCTGGACATATCTTAGATTCAATGAATCTGGACATCATAGCTCGTGTTAGGCTATTTTGTGTGCGACCCTGTAGTCCCATATGAAATTGGCAGTGGACCATTTACTATAATGACTCACAAGTCGTAAGCGGTCTCTAGCAAGACATCACGACTACCCAAATCATATGAGGATCGATGAACGATGTAACCTTTCATACAACCATATCACGTCCCTTTTGTCACACGACATTTTGGTCATGGATGAGGCATGGAGAACGTCATCCTCCTATTCCTGACCGTTACTTTCTCGATCCCTGAGTAGTCTAAGTATAGAAATGGAACTACCTTTCCATTATAGTATGGCCATACATTTCTCAGACTCACTCATCGAGGGGGCCCAGTAATATCTCTCTACGAATGTGAGGGACAAATTCCATCTTGACCATTCATATTCCTCCATATGAAAAACCACTAAGCCTGAACATAGTCTTTATGATCACTCGGTCAAAAGTGACTTTTGACTAGGTCAAAGCTGAGCGTTTCTCATATAGGAATCCATGATGATCTCAGGTCAAAGGGCATAGTGACATGGTTTGTATATGAGAGAAGCTTATGACTTAACCCATGCAGCTCTCTCATAGCGGGTCAGTCTAACACCTTGTACTCTTACATGTGTCTATGACTTTGATTTATATCTCTATACATCTTCAAAGTCATACTGGTCTTATTTCATCTCTGTTCCCACATAGATGACCGACCAGGGACATTTAGGATAAATCATGAGTTATCCAAGGATAGTCATCACAATAAACATGCAAATAATATGATAACATAATTAAGAAATTCATAAATCAACAATGTTCATAACACAATGATTGGCCCCTAGGGCACAATTTCCAACACCACATACCCTAGAATAGATGACTATGAACTTAATTTGAATATTGTAGGTGATTAGAGGATTGAAGGAATATTGGAAGAAGGTTCTACCTCACTTCACCATGACAAAATATGGGATTTGCCACGACTAATGGTCATTATGAAGGAAACAACATCATTTATTCATACGACGTCGTTCTGACTTCGCCGCGATGAACAACTTCCTTCATCACGGTGAAAAAGCGAAATTTCCAATTTAATTCCAAAACGCGTGCTAGATCTGTCATTCCGTGATTTCTTTAGTTCTAGCTTTGTTTCCTCCGTCCAGGGCTCTGCCATTTTGTCTCTCATCACCTCCATACCATTCTCCATCATCAATTCATCATTTCTACCCTAATCCTTCTATTGTCTACCGATTATTCTCCTCCATTTCCCTTCACATCGTTGCAGCTATGACCATTGAAGTTGCAGAGCTCGATGAAGCTGTGATTTCAATCATGAGAGGCTAGATCTTCATTCTTTGATGTTCAATGAAGCCAATCTGAGTTCCTAAAGCTACAATTGGGAGTTTCTTCTACCTTAATCTTAGTTTCACTCTCTACATTGATAGATTGTAGTTTCTATGGTTTAGATATGTGATTTGTGATTATAAAGAGATGTAATTCGGTTGTTTTACATTGAGATTGAGATTTGGATTGTATTCTGCACTTTAATTGATTAATTGAATTGATATTTCTTTCTATTATATTGATTCTTTCTTCTCAAGTGTTTGAATCTCTTGATTGACCGATTAGGTTTCTAACATTGTTAATTAAGAGAGTAAAATACTTCTTGCAAAGCATGATCCATATTAGGCATTTAGATGAGTTTGGTGAATTAGGGTTCTAGCTTATTGAATTCATTGTCTGTAGAAGGTCTTCACAAATCGAGCCTAATAAAGGAATTGAAACTCAATCAAGTGAGGAACTAGGATGATTGGTGGACGTGATCATCAAGGATAATTCATACAGTGCATTTATTTTATTCATTAAATACATAAATTACAAAGAGTTTAGATAGTTTTACTTTGGTTTGGGTATAGTTACTGGTTACACAAATACTTCATACTTCATACTTGGTTAATTTGATATTTGTGATAAATTATTAAGACATTCATAGGTTCCTCAAGAGATCGACATCTAGGTTAGTGTCACTTTATTGCATTTAGTTTAGTTTTATTTGATAGTCTAACAATAGGGCTACATCACTTGCCAAATAATCCAGATAATAACAGTAAATATCTCTTTCCAACTACCATCACATAGTCCTACTTTCTTCCACATGTTTAAAAGAGCTACTCTTGAAGGGTGCTTAAGTAGAATTCCTACAGATAGGTGGGTTTCACAATCGAATCCTAGAAGCTTCAGATATCTCTACAATTTCAAAGAGCATGGAGTTCATCTTCTATGCTTTTTTTACATCTGTCATAGTATCCTGTTTGGTATAATCCTCATTTCCACTTGTGTTTATTGGTTATCAACCGTTCGTGTCTCAGTATCTAGGTAAAGCTTTTGCAACGTTTTGGAATTCTAAGCTTCCAGGGCTTCACCCATGCACGTGAAGATGGCATATTTCTTTTGTTCAATGTAGAATACGTTGACTTAGTGCTAAAAATCTTGCTCCATTCCCACTTCCACTTAACACTTCTTTTGCCAGTTTGGGGTTGTACTTTCTGGATGTCACTAGTAACATTATTCCAAGTGCTTTTAATTTCCCGCCATGCATTTGACCTTGATTTCTAGAGGTTGATATTAGGAAGGAGATCATCCCCGCACCCATATTTACTTATAACTTATAATTCAATTGTTGGTTGGTTGCATTTGTTGTATCATATACTAACTCCAGTCTTTAATATAAGAGCTAGTTGACTAATTTATGTAGATTAGGGAAGGTTGTTAAGTTAGTTATTTGTAATAAGTATGTTTTATCTTCCTTAGAATACTCTTGCTAATTATGTGTATTAGTTAG